ACCTTGAACATTGTGTTATGAATTGGTTTTATAGTCTAGACTCTGCAGAGTTTTGGGAAACTCTTCCAGGAAAAATTTGTAGATATTAAGAAAGTATGTAAAAAGCTGACCTCTGCTTATAATTTTCCTTAAGGCCCTTGAACTTATTCCACGTTAGAAAGCATGGCTGTCATGGGTTTGCCAAAAATTTTCTAATCAGGGACTTCTGCTTTAACCCTTGAGTCCGTAGAGTTTTTTAAACACCCCTAGTCCTAACAGCAGAGAGGAGAGAAGCATCAAAACCGTGCCACTTCCCATTTAGTGTGAAGATCTGTGTGCATCTTAACTCCAAGAAAAGGGACAACTTTCAGGTGATTTTCCTCTCATTGCATAATATTCCTTAAAAAGCTATCTTGCAAAAATCCACGAGTCCTGTTAGCTCCATTCTGCTGGTGAGCTCCTTTCTGCTAGTCCTTAGTGCCTCTCAGCTCAGATTGGAAGCAAGATACTCCCACGATTCATAGACTCCCCAGGACTTCACCAGGAAAACCCAGAGGGAGTTTTCCTTTGGTGTGCCTAGGCTGAACTCACTTCTGCAAGAACTATTACCGTGCATCTTACATGTGATCAGGTGTTGAAGTTCTGGCTAAGAGCTCAACAGCAAATAATGCTTGCATGATAGCATGTGGATCATGTGGATGAGGGAATGGTGTCCTATGGGATTCTTGTAGATGATACATATTCAGAGGCGAAGGATGGGTTGGAAGTAGTTAGGATGAATCTATCTATAATCAATTCACATATTTAACCAACTATTGCCTAACAAATGCAGATCTGAATGACCAAGATAACATGTAAAATGCTTTTTTTTGCAGGGTTAAGAAGGGTGAGGGAAAACATTTATGATATGGTAAGCTTTAAAGAGCCAACATTTCAGTGGTTTTCTTCCTAAGCCAGAGAGGTTTATTTATTTACCCATTAATCCAATGAATTATGTGGCTAGTGATATGAAGATGTATAAGACATACTTTCTACCCTAAAAGAACTCAGTGTAGTTAACAGACACATATTTAGATAATTCTCACATGAGCTAGTAAAAAAGAATTCGATTTTATGAGAATATTTCCCAGCTTCAGGTGGCTAGGGAATGGGGGAGAATATCAGAAAAGACTTCATAGAAGCAGTTATATCTGAGTTGTTTTTCAAGAACCATAAGAGTTTTACTGGCTGAGGAAGGAAGGAAGGATGGGCATATTGGAATGATGGGGCAGGGGTGGAGTCTGTAGATAGTGACATTCCAGGGAAAGAGACCACGTCAGCCAAGGTCTGGAGGGAACAGGGAATCAAGATTTGCATTCTACCAGTGTTTGTTCGAAATGCTTTTGGACATCTGTGGAAATGTCAGGTAGGTAGGTAAGAGGGGTGTGTGTCTACAGGTCCAGGTGAGGACAGAGCTGGAGATCTAGATTTGGCTGTCACTGGTGTAACATATCTGTAACATAGCATAACATATCTGTAAATGCTAAATGAGGTTGCCTGTGCAAGTAGCCAAGAGGACTCACAGCAGACAGATTGCCCTAATATTTACTGGGTGGTCTGGGAGGAGGAGACAGCAAAGGAAACAGAGTGGCTAGAAATGTTGGAGGGAAGCCAATAATATGTCAACCAAAGAAAGGGTGGTAGACTAATGGTTTCAAATGCTATTGGGAAGTAGAGAAAGAGAAAACTAAATAGGTGACCTTTGGATTTGGTAACATGGAGATCATTAATGACCTTGACAGAAACTGTTTCCACGAAGTGCAGGGACAGAGCGCTGGTGCAGAGGATGGAATCTAGAATGTAGAATGAGGAAGGGGAGATGAACAAGAGCAACCATTGTCTTTGGGCTGATGGGTATTCCGACCTCATTTCCTGGACCATGGGGAAGAAAGGAAGCAGCTTGTGGTCCGCTGAAATGACTGGTCAGGGTGAAAAAGTGCCAGGTCACCTATATGAGGACTCCAGGGTGGATGGATCATTAGATCCACCTCAGCTTGTCCCATTGGTATGTAGGACCCTCAAGACTATATAGTGTTCTTAGAATAGCATCCAGTACATAGTCAGTACTATACGAATTTTTGTTGTAATTATCCCAGTTTCTAAGCAAGCTTTATTTGGTTTCTAATAAAAATCATTTATGCAGGCCAAAACATGTTTCAGGAAGCACAAAGATACAAATCTTACACATGGCAAAAACTGCAGCATAAAAAAGAAAATCGACTTGTGTATAGGGGGCCAGTCCTCTAGTTTAATGGTCTGTTCTCTCTTTCTTTCTCTCTCAGGTCCGGTTAAGATTCACTAGAGTCCAGGATTCAACTATTAAACCAGGGCAGTGAAAGTGTAAAAGAAAACAACAGTAAAGGCATATCCAGATAAATATATTTATAACATCAACCAAAATAGAAGTAAATACAGCCTACCGTGCATTCAAGTTTTGTGCCTGTTTGTACAAGTAGCTGAAAGATGACAGATATACAGCATGGGTTTTTTATTTTGGTTTGTTCGCTGGCTAATTGAGAGATATTAATGTAGAAATGGAGGAATAATAATACAATGGTGTGCTGTTCCCTGTAGATGGATTTTGAAACTTGTTTTACAACTGAACTGTTCCAGAGATTAAGAATAAGGTAGAAAGTGGAGATAATGGAGAGGTGTAATCACAAACTTCCTCTTGGTCTCTGAATCTCTCTTCAGCCTTAAGGTCAAGTTTTGCATATTTTTACAGGTGTTTTTCACGTGGGAAATGCAGATATCTATCTCATAGCAGTATTGTGGAGATTAAGTGAGATAGGTAAAGAGTAGTTTACAGTAACTGCATCATTAGTACATCTTTCAATGAAGTACACATCTCCTTCTGGCTGGTAATGGGTATTTCCTGTTTTTTACCTTCTACCTAGCTATTGAAGATGCTTTCAATACAAATCTAATAATAAGCACAGCTGACATTTATCATGTGCTCAAATTACATTTAATCTTCCAAACAATCCTTTAAGGTAGGATGATTACTCTCATCTTATCCTTAGCATCGGCATTGGGCAGCCTGGCTACAGAGGTCAGCTCTTACCACTGTCTCCACACTTTGCGCTGGACACAGCTGGGCTACTTTTCCGGCCATGTCTTGCTACCAGCAAACCCAGTTTTCTGTTTAGAGGACACTTTTAATCGCTTTCGCTCGCCATGGTCTCTGGCTTCCATTCCCGAGGACCAGAAGGTAATATAATTCACCCAGATGGAACCAGCCCAGCTACCTCCTCCTCGATCCGTGAACTTTCACCTTGTCTGAGCAGCGAGTAGGCACCACCGTCCCTTTATTTCTCTGTGCTCAGGGCTAACCCAGTGTCGGTCTGTTAGGTAGCAATACGGGTATTCTCTA